CATGGTATGGATTTCCGCTGCTTAGGCTGCAGGCTTGTGTGATGTTGTGCTTGTGGGGAATGACAGTCAATCAATTAATCAGTTAAAGATTTGTTTGTCACAAACACAGTTATACTCAGAGCACTATTTACTAAAATGCTCGTTTCCCTATAGCTCCAAGACTGTGCAACAGGGCACATATGTATAATGAGACAAAACATTAAGCAATACCATGCAATTTGCAGTAAAGTGGCAGGTGCTACTGCAATATATGTAAACGGTACAGTGGCAGCAGGCTGGACATGTATAATTTCAACTTAAGAATTCAAATCTTTATTTTGCTGCAACAAATAATGAATATGCATTTGGAACCATTTCGTAAAGGGACTGTTAATATGCCAAGTCAGTCTTTAAGGCAAATTTGTAGGAACTGGTACATATAGTTCTTATTTAGCATCAGTTAGTCAAATGTTTGTCACACACACGCATAGCCTTTCTCTATATCAAACAGGAAGAAACAGGAAGAAACACTTCCAAATACACCACATCTTAAACGTAATGAAGTACATAATAATAAAATAATAATAATAATAATGATAATAACAATAATAATAAGAGAAGAAGAAGAATATGCTAATAAAAGTAACTACATACAAACTGCATGTGTGTAGGTAAACAGTACTTTAAAAACATTAAAGAAATGGTTCTTAAAACGGTTTTGATAAAAAAAAGAAAAAAGATCATAATTGTATAAGGTTAACACTTACTCTTGTTCCATCAATGTCTTGCATACTGGAAGGGGTATTTCTGAGGTAACATTACAATAAGATTAACAATTATGAACCACTGAAACTGCACAATGTTTTCATGAACATGTGTGTTCCTTATTGCAAACCATTTATTTAACTCACATATTAATTTCATAGGCTTTATCACTGTCTGTTCTTAAGTAAGAGTTGTCCGTAAGTCGGAGGTTTGTAATCTGGGGACTGCCGGTGCATTTGCAAATCGAAAGCAAAGGATCATTTCATTTTCATTGGAATACCTGATTATGTTTTGGTCATTTTAAGCTGGGCTTCCCAAACTTTTGATGACCGCAGACTGGCATGCATTATGCAAAAATTTCACAGAATGGAAGATTGCACATGATTAATAGGAAAATATCATTGGCATCATGGCTTGTTTGCTAACTGATTAGCAACCCCTGGGAATTTGTGAGTATTATTTTAACTTGAAGCAGGGGGGTATTCCATGAAAGTAGGTAAAGAAAGCCAGACTTTCCCGAAAAAGTCAGACTCAAACTAGCGCCATTTCTAAACTTAGCCTCATGTCATTCCACTAACGGAGTTAAGCTTTAACTAATCAAGGTTCATACACTTGCATAGTCTCTTAGTGCGCACACCCGAGATATTTAAAAAGCCCAAATGAATGGATGAATGATTGATCAAATGAGTCGGAAAGCATGTAAAACGGGAGCAATGTTTTTTTTTTCCGCCGCAGACCAAACGCTGCTGACGGAGCTGTATGAAGAATACAAAGATGTAATCGCTAAAAAAAAAGGCTATACTGTGGCCATAAATAAAACCAGGGAGTTGGCTTGGCAAAGAATTGCAGACTAAATACTAAGTTACGTAAATGTTACAAGTGCTTAGTACAGTGGCACGGTGGTACAGTGGTTTATGCTGTTGCCTTACACCGCAAAAGTTACTGGTTCGATTCCCATAACCAATGGGGAACCTTCTGGGTTACATTCACGTGTCATTCATACTGTAGTCTACAGTATAATGTTATTCTGTATTATTTGATCTCCGTAAAATACTCAACCAAAAGACTAAACAAAATATCTACCGGTTCATATTATTTTAATGTTTTTGGAATGCTGAGACATGATTTTTATAGCCTTTATTATATTGATCACATGACATGAGTAATGAGAGCGTGGAATTTCGTCTGACGGAACGATCTTTTGGGAATCTGTTCCCACAACGCGTAACTAAGCGAGACAGTTAACCTGATCCAGAGTAGACTTATTCACTCGCATAAATTACCATAGTAGCTCAGCGGGGATTCATTTAGACTTGTCGAAATAAGTAAGACTTTCCCTTAATCCTGCTTCGTTGGAGAACCCCCCCCACCCCAGGACAGTGACCGGTTCTTCGGAACCATTAGCTTGCTGATAACAGGTACATTTCTCAAGCCTACGTGGAGCTGACACAGGGACTCCTGGCTTAAGGCTATCAGTGTTGGGCTGCTATAGAGGCCGTCCCTGGGGCTCCTGGCTTATGGCTATCAGCGTGGGGCTGCTATAGAGGCCATCCCTGGGGCTCCTGGCTTACGGCTATCAGCTTGGGGCTGCTATAGAGGCCGTCCCTGGGGCTCCTGGCTTACGGCTATCAGCGTGGGGCTGCTATAGAGGCCGTCCCTGGGGCTCCTCGCTTACGGCTATCAGCGTGGGGCTGCTATAGAGGCCGTCCCTGGGGCTCCTGGCTTACGGCTATCAGCGTGGGGCTGCTATAGGGGCCGTCCCTGGGGCTCCTTGCTTATGGCTATCAGCGTGGGGCTGCTATAGAGGCCGTCCCTGGGGCTCCTGGCTTACGGCTATCAGCGTGGAGCTACTATAGAGGC